CTCTCTCTCTCTCTCTCTCTCTCTCTCTCTCTCTCTCTCTCTCTCTCTCTCTCTCTTCTTCCTGCATGGGGGCGCAGCGCTGCGCCCCGTCATTTCCAAGGCGCGAAACCGGGTCAGCACGATGGGCCGATTGTAACGAGTGGCGGCGCTGATTCACGAAGTGGGCGGTGCGGAGACGTCGAGTTACGGTGCGAAGTGATGGGGGAAGCTGATGATGGAGAGGAAGAAGATGAGTGAGGGGTGAAAGCGACTGCGATGGAGCAAGTGCGGGCAGGGTGGACTCTTGCTGCGGTATTGGGAACAACGGAAGGTGGTTGTTGGGGTTTGGTTTGGTGGGTCGTTTCCGAGCTTCCTAGCGTATGGAGAGGTAATCTGCTGCTGTTGCTTTTCTCTACGAGAAAGTGCAATACTTGGTAAGGTCACGAGTTCTCCTCTTCTGGGACTGCCTGCGGTGAGCTGTTGGCGGGTTCAGCAGCTAGATTCTGCAACGTGGCGTGGATATCTTGGGTAAATGCGTTGCGGTCCGTTGTCGCCGTTCGACTTTGATTGACCGGAGTGGTCGAATGACGGTCGAGATGCCTTAGGCCGGTGACGTGTGGAGCTGAGGTTCGGGAAGGGAATGTCGTGTCTTGGGTACTCGTAGGTTTCTGTGCTGGCTTCAGGATTGTCTGATTTTCTGATTGATTGGGTATGATCTTGTATGTGTTTTCGCCTGTTGATCAAACATGTTTCTACTGGTAACTTTTTCGATTGTATTTCTTGTATGAATTGATTCTCTCTGGGTCATTTTCCCAGGATTGATTGCAGTGATTTTTGTGCAATTCTTATTCATGCGTATGTTTTTTGGTACATAGTTGCTTCTCTCGACGTTGACCTTAACTACGATCTGGATTACTTTCTTGATTTTATATATTCGTGAGTTCAATATTGGACATCTTAGATAGATTTTTTAATCCTGTTTTTGAATTTCAAAATTCCAAAAAGATGTCTCATCTAAATTTCCCAATTTTGTTCCTAATTTTCAAATTTTAAAAGTATGTTTTTGAAGTTATTTTCTATTGGAAAAAATCTACGTCGGCAAAACTTAACTCCATAGTCTTGATTACTTTTGCTGTAAATTCTGATTTTGAATGGTCTTTTTTCGTTAATTGTGTTTCAAAGTTTGATCTTTGTGTGGTATATTTGTGTCTTCCTGTGTGAATCTGTGGGGTTCTTCTTTAGGGTTAAAGCGTCTCCCCGTGAGGGTTTCACAAGGTGGGAGGTGTTACCCTTGGAGGGGGGGAGGCGGTATTGTGGGATTGTCTTTTTCTAGGCCAAGGCGACTTAGGGTCGGATCAGTGCTGGCGGTTGGGGAGAGAAGATAAGGGGGGTGAAGCTGTTTACAGCAGGGTGAGAGGTAGAAAGGGCTGCCTTGCCTGGAGGGGGTGCGCCAGAAGGAAATGGGGAACTTCAGCCTGTGCGGTATGCTTTAAGGGGAATTGTATGCCTTTTAGGGGGTTGAAGTGTCCGTTTATAGGCTGTTCAGAATTGGGGCCAAGAGGAGAGGGGGCGCCTCCCGGTGGGGGCAGTGTACGAACAGGGCGTTTGGTTTTTGAGGGAAGGGAGTAACTTGGATGGTGATACAGTGAGTTTCTTATGTGTTGTGGAGACCTGGGTGAACGCTAGAATCTGCATCTGAAGAAGATTATTTTCCCCCCTCCGGTCCTCTTTTTGGGATGCAAGTGGAGTTTCTCTATTTTTTTTAGGTTGGTGTCTGATGTTCCTGAGTTTTCGAAAAAAATTTTAAAAACTCTTAAAAAAGTTATTCGGTGAGCAGGAAAGGGAAGGTTCGTTTTAGGAGGGCGGTGCTTGGGCAGAGGACGGATTGGGTTCAGGGTGGTAGGTGTATTAGAAGGGCAGAATGGGGTGACAATTGCCGGTGCTGGAGCAGTTGCTCTGTAACCAAGGGAGCTTGAGACTATTGGAGCTATGCCGAGGATGGAAGGCATAACCATCTTGTTCAACGTAGGTGAGGCCGGGGCAGTGACCCTGTAACTTTGAGGGTTGTGCAACTAAGGAAGTTGTCAAGGGAGGAAGACACTCCTTGTCCGTCAGAACTAGTTCGGTCGGTACTGGGGCATTTGGTGTTGTCCTGTCACCCTAGCAAGGGGGGTATGAGATGTAGCGAGTTCTGGTACGAGGACTGAATACCTAGGCAATAGTCTTTCCTCTACGGTGCGGGGAAGGAGTTGGATCGTGGGGGATTTCGTTTGTCTTGCCGGGTAATGGTCTTAGTATCTCACAGAGTGTCTATGCAGTGATCTGCCTATGATCAGGGAGATTGTGGATGGAATGTCGGGGGGGGAAGGAGGAGGTGAGAGATGGAAAACGGGAGGAAGCAAGGGGGGTTCAACATGGGAAGGGACGTCTGTATAAGTCAATAGGTCAGAAGGACAAAGTTGGGATGAAGCAGACAGGTGCAGGAGCTTTTGCCCTGTAACCTGGGGGAGCCAGAGGTCTGTGGAGTTATGTCGAGGGAGGAAGACATAACCAGTTTGTCCGACGTAGCTGATGCTGTTTTTTTTTTCCCTGTAACTTAGGGGCGTGTGGCTAATCGAGAGTGTTCAAGGGAGGAAGGTACTCTTTGTCGTTTGAACCAGGCTGGTCAGTAGTGAGGAAGTTTGTGTTAACCTTTAACCCTAGCATAGGGGAGTAGGAGATCAACTGAGAAATAAAAGAAAAAAACAATTTAGGAAAATCTGAATAAAATATATGTTATGCCAAAAAATAAATTGAACAACTTTTGCCTTGTGGTCATATCAAAATTCATTACCAAAGTTGAGAGAAAAATATACGGTTGTAGAGCGCAATAAAACCTATAACCCCAAGATTTAAAAATATCGGGGTTTTCCGACCGCACTTGGCCGCGGGCGCCACCCGCTGCGGTCGGGATGCTGACCGTGTGTGGTTAAACGGTCCGCGGTCACGACCGCGGGTGATACACAAGGGGAGGTGTAAACAGTAGGTGGTTAGTTTTTCAAAGGAAGGGGTTGACTTGTCTTTAATACGCAGCTTAATAGTTTGGAGTTATGAGGTTAGCTTGTGATAAAGTTCATTTGAAGCTTGATATTCTTCCTCCCTCTTTGCCAATTGCTTGAGGAAAGTCTCTGTTGTTGCCTGCGCTTCTTGCTGCTGTTGGAGGAATTGAGCTTTGAGCTGCTCAAACTGTTCCATGGAAACCGTTTGGGATAAAGAAGTAGAAGTGGAGGCTTGAATGGTTTGGTGTTGCGGACAGTTGGGGATTGGAGTAGTTTGATTGGAAAAGGGAGAGGGTAATTGAGGTGGTGGAGTTTGAGATGGAAAAGTGGGGAGTTGTTGTGGTGGGGGAGGAAGGTTAAATGGGAATGGGGGTGGGTGATTAGGAGGTGGTTGATGATTAGAAGGATGCGGAAGGGTTACAGTAGTTGGAGTGGGTGTTCTGATTTTCATTGCAAGGGAGCTGACTTTGTACAGAGAAGGAGAGTTACGAGGTTGGACTAAGAAAAGGAGTTGATGGCTTTGGGGAATGGCAGGGTTAAGACAGTCTAAAATTTTTACAGGAACGTAAGAAGGGGGAAAAATAGATAGAATGGCGAGAAGTTCTGCGCTGATGAGTGATTGGGGACCAGACGCATTGATATATGCATGGAGTAAAGGATCCATCTGCAAAAAAAGATAAAAGTTAATTAAGCAGAAAAAAACTCGTTCATCTTAATCAAGTCTTTGCTCGCCTTACTAGAACATGAATAATATGAGTTGGTCTACCCTCTGTTTCCAGCCCCCCTCCCTTTTTTTTTTTTTTTTTTTTAAATATTATTATTATATATATAAGGATGTATTTTTAAGTAACATAGTGAATTTTGATGATAGTTGTTTCAGGTATTCTATAAAAGGGAACGGAGAGAAAAGTTGTTGGTAAGGAGTGGATTAAGGAAAAAAGAATGTGATGAAATTCGAAGGCAGACAAAAAGGAGCAAACAAGGGGTCTTTAAAGACCAAGGGAAAGGAATCTGGATCTTCCGCATTTTCTGCAAAAGATAAGATCGAATAAATGTTTGTTTACCTTTCCACAAGCTTAAGATATTTGTGAGATTTTTTTTTTTTTTTTTTGAATTGCGTAGAAAGGTCAGAATTCCCTTTGTTGTGCAGAAAGGAGCTGGTGACAGATGAGGGCATTAAGGTGCCAATGGCAACTAGGTAGGAAATCAAATGTGAAGAAAATTTGTTTAAAAGGGGGAGGTTTACGGTAGAATGAGATAAGGAGGTTGGAGTGGGATAAGAAAATAGGGTCTTCCATTCTGTCAGACATTTTTGCAGGAGAGAAACAAGAAGGTGTCGGAAAAGGAAAATATGCCTTTTTTTTTTTTTTTACTATTTATTTATTTAATTATATATATATATATTGGCAAATTGGAGATAGTGTATCTTCAAAGGGTCCCAACACTTTTTTTTTTTTTTTTTTTTTTTTTTTATATACCGCAAAACTGTTCTGGGGAAACGTGGCCGATTTGATAGAATTTGACAGGGGTTAGTATTGCTGCCTTTTGCAAAAAACTGGATCCGATGATCTGGCTTGGAAATTGTGATTAAATAGGTTCTTCGTTGAAGAGTTGACAGATTCGTGGAAAATAGGTAGAAACGAGGAGGAAAGGTATTAAGAGTGGGAATCCGAAAAGAAGGAGTATGAGGATTGCGACAA